TTATCTATCACTTTTCGTGTTTTGACACGACATTTCGGTCTATAAAGTCATATGCTTCTTAGCTCAACACTACGACTGGACTCGTCAGTATGACGGCCGTGATGTTCAGGGAGGAGAAAAGACAAAGAAACGAAGAGAACTTAAGAAAAAGAAGATAAGGGGAAAATAAAAAGGAAATAAAAATATTTTTTTCACACCTTTTGTAGATGAAAGAAGAGAGTGAAACAGGCGAAGGAAGTGGTGGTAAAGTAGAAGAGCAAGCGGACGAGGATATGTATGCGGATGATGCCGATATGGCCGGCGTAACAGTTGACATGGATTCACGCACACGCATTACTGTGAGGAATCTGCGAATAAGGTAATGAATGCAGCTTTTGAGCGGATGAATTTTAATTTTTTTCTGTAACTGAGGTGAATTTTGAATTCTGGCTTTTGTAGAGAGGATACAGCGAAATATTTGTACAATTTGGACCCAAATGGCCCGTACTACGACCCAAAATCGCGCTCCATGAGGGAAAATCCATTTGCGGTAAGTGGAATTTTTTTTTTTTGAACAAGACAAACTGTTAGAATCAAATATTCTGAACAGTGGTGTGTTCGTAAGCCAGGAACTTTCTAGTTGTTTCATCCAACGCATCATCGCCTGTCCATCGGTCTGCTGACTCTTTTGGCTTTGGTTTTTCCTATGCGGTTAGGCGGCTGTACTGATGATTTCCACTCCTAACCACACGTCACACTGTCCGTGTTTACAGCTCAGGGATGAAACACAGCTAGAATACCCTAACTACTTCAGATACATGACTACTTTACATGTCATACGGTTTCTACCACATTATCTACACAATATCTGCACAACTGTCTTCTCTACTACTACTTCCATACACTAATTTCCATCCTTTGTGCCTTAAATCGCGAGGTATTCAGCTATGCTAGATTTCTTTCGGCCAGCATGGTCCACTGCTTTACAAGGTAAGCTTCGCCCTACTTACAGCCGAATAACACCACTTTACAACTCGGACCTTCTTGTCAATCCTGCTCGGCATGTGTTGTGGAGGAGCAACTGCTTTGTTGGTTCCTCAGGTCGCTTTATCGTACAACAAATAATTGTATTTCTGGTTCATGTCCTCAATTATCTCCAGTGCGCGCTAACTGGATAATTATACTGCCAGCAAATATTGCTAAATTCCCCGACTTCGGCGGCTAGCAGACAGCGTGAATATCACCAGGCGTTGATTCTTAGGTCAGCTAACGTTGTTCCGTCGTACAGTATTAACCAACCGCAGACCCACTCGTTGTATCGTCGACTACCTCAAACTTGGGTAATACAACCTTTATTATACACATACAATATGCGCGACATGAGCAAATACACATAAAAGCAAGAATATGACACGCATTAAAAAATATTGGAAGAAAGGCAATGATG